TATATATATATATATATATATAAATATGTTTATATATATATATAAAAATAAATAGGTTTATATATATATATATATAAATATATAAATATATATATATATATATATATATAAATAAATATATATATATATATATATAAATATATAAAATATATATATATATATATAAATATATATATATATAATATATATATATAAATATATATATATATATATATATATATATATATATAAAAAATAAATATGAATATATATATATATATATATATATATATAAAATAAATATGAAATATATATATATATATATATAAATAAATATGAATATATATATATATATATAAATATATATATATATAAATAAATATGTTTATATATATATATATATATATATATATATATATATATATATATATATATATATATATATATATATATATATATATATATTATATACACTGCTGGACAATTGCTAAGGACGGATAACACTATCATCCATAGCAACCACAAAATGAAAGGAAGCAAAATGTGCAAAATTAGAACAAGTGCGGGATATTAGTAAGAAGAAGTATGAGTATGCAAATTTTTTTTCCACGTCTGTTCATCACGTGATAGCGTTCATAAGAGCTTTAAAGGTTTTGACGCGTGTGAACAGTTGTTTCAAGTCAAAGTTTTACAGGAAAGATTTAATAGACGAACTTAAAATTTTTGGCATGTCTTCCCGACATCACATAGATGATTTTATGCGTGGCCGAATTATTGGAAAGATCGAAGAAGGGCGAAAAATAACAAATGTTGCCAGGGAGTTCGACATCGCTCACAGCGTTGTTTCACAGCTGTGGAAGTCATTTAAAACAACTGGAATGTGTAGTAGGCGGCACGGGGGAGGTCGTGTTAGAAGTACGATGCCTGCAGAAGACAGATATATCGTCCTATCAGCAAAAAGGAACAGGCGCATCACAGCTCAGCAGGTGGCAAATCAGTTTCTTGCTGCCTCAGGAAAGCAGATCTCCCGAAAAACTGTTGCCAGACGTTTAGGGGAGGAGGACTATACGCACGCAGACCTGTTGTGTGTGTCCCATTGACCAGACAGCACCGTACTGCCCGTTTGCAATGGTGTCGTGAGCATCACAATCGGACTGAACAGGACTGGGCATGCGTACTATTCTCAGATGAGAGTAGGTTCAGTCTGTCATCGGATTGTAGACGCCAACTGATCTGGCGCGAGAGTGCTACTGCTTATCGTCCAGAAAATATCCAGGAAAAGGACCGATATCCGACATGCAGTATCATGGTGTGGGCCGGCATCATGATCAATGGCCGCACGCGCCTACATGTGGTTGTGAATGGGACTATGACGGGCCAACGATACATTGATGAAGTTCTACTTCCTCATGTTCGTCTTTTCCGTGGTGCTGTCGGTGATAAATTTGTTTTTATGGACGACAGCGCACACATGTCATCGAACACTTGCTGTTCAGGATTGTCTAGACAGCGAGGGTATTCAACGTCTCGTATGGCCAGCGCGTTCTCCAGATCTAAACCCCATTGAAAATGTGTGGGATGCTTTGGGGAGGCAAGTTGCTGGTCGAAACTATCCTCCGACAAACAAGAACACCCTCATCCGTGCACTCACAGAGGAATGGGATAAATTGCCTCAACAGCTGCTGGATAATGTTGTGCAAAGTATGGTACGACGTGTGGAATGTTGCATCACACTCCACGGTGGACATATCCCGTACTGATACCTTTCTTTAAGTTGCCTGCTGACTTTTAGATGCATTGCTCCATTTCTCCGTACGCAGATCAAATGAACATTTTTTTTTTTCTTTCAGATGTTTCACAGCTTTTGTACTTTCCAGAACAATAAATATTCTTTATTCTAATGTCTGAACAGTGTGGCAACTATATTTTATCCTACTAGGCCTCATGCCTCGCTTAATGTTATGCTACATAGCAATTTGTGATCCGTCCTTAGCAATTGTCCAGCAGTGTATATATAAAATATATATATATATATATATATATATATATATATATATATATAAATAATTATGTATATATATATATATAAATATATATATATATATAAATATATATATAAATAAATATGTATATATAAATATATATATAAATAAATATGTATATATATATATATAAATATATATATATAAATAAATATGTATATATATATAAATATATATAAATAAATATGTATATATATATATATATATATATATATATATATATATATATATATATATATATATATATATATATATAAATATGTATATATATATATATAATTTTTAGTTTCCATTTTATTTTAAAATGCAGATGATTTCTATGACCGTAGAACGTGCCTGTATAATTTAGACAATCTCTCTCTTCACATAAAAAAAAAATCTTCAACATGCGGTAAACAATGAAATGTGTTAAATCTATAAGGGCGTGGTAAACATTATGGGTAACAGTCCAAGTGATCAACGTATAGCTTAAAGAGATTTTTGAAGTATATATGTAGATTGGTTTTCCACAGAATTTAAACCAATATAGCCTAATAGTCACGGTCTATATTTCATGACTGATGCTATTTCAATCGAGTCATGGGTACATGTCCTGATGGCACTGGAGATCCATCGAGTTGCAAGACTGAGGCACTTGAAATCTGTCGAAGCTCAAAATCCTGTATGGGAGTTTGCAGAGTGGGGTGTCAGTTTAGAAATCATCCTCATCACTTGATATTGCTAAAATTTTTCAGGTCCATCGTGTTGCTTCTGAGTGTGGCTGATAAATAATCCACAGAATATATGATGCTTATCAGAGCTATAAAAATTATATCGACTTAAGTGGTCCTTCAGTGAATATAATATTTTAGTTTTCATAATCTAGAATACCCACAGCATTTGTTTGGATGATTGGGATAGTAATGTTAAAAATTCATGGTAAAAAATTATAAGATAAATGATCATTAATTTTTTGCCGTAAAAAATTACGATGGCATTTTAGAAGATGACCACAGACTTTTTGACTACGCTGCTTTTGTATAATTCGGAATAATTATGTTAAGATTATGATTTTGAGAGGAATTTTTTCGAAAAGCAAAAATTTACGTCTTTTTTAAATCCCCCCCCTGAGTTTTATGCATGAAGAACATACACAAAATTACAGAGTGGAAACATAGTCTCCTTATAAATTCGTTTGTAAAATTTAGCCGTATATTTTTGGGAAAGGTATCCGAATACTTGCGACAACTTTATTTAAAAAAAAAATAGAATTATGGAGATTTTTGTGGTTTTTAGATTTATTTAGTACATTTTAAGAAATAAAGGCTAAAATTAAGAAAAGAAAATTAAATTATTACTACTAAAATGGGAAAAAATTGGTAAAAATTGACAAAAAATTACATAACTGTAAAAATAGCAAATGAACTAATTTTCAATTTTGATGTATTACTTTGCTATTTCTTTTTGAAATGACCTTCAAGATAAGAGATATTTTAGTTTTTACAAAAACTAGAGCATTTTATCCTAGTTAATATACGAAATTGCTTAAAAAACAGTGTTTATATTCACTTAAAGAACTGTACATTTTGTAATAAAACAGTGATAGATAAATCTGAAGGTTAAAGATTTCTACTGTTATACACACAGACCATACACAAAAAATTTCATCAAATTATTTTAAAAACTTTTTGAGCAATCGCTATCCACATTTAAACTTTAAAAAAAAACACATTTCAAGTAAAGCGCATTTTAAATTTTTACATCTTAGCAAAGCATCTGCTTTTACTAAAACACTTGCAGGTTTTGTTCCAGTGAATTGAAAATAAAAAACTTGGGATTTTTATAAAGCTAATAAGATGACCTATAAAATAAAAACTTAAAAAAAATTGTCAGTTTTAAAAAATACCTTAAGTATGGAGAAGACGAATTTAGAATTATAGTGAAAAAATCGAAGTATCTTTTTAAAGCAATACCTGCTGTCTGTACAGGTACGACGACATCGAAATGATAAATGGAACACGTAAAGATTGGGACAGGCGTTTTCGAATCAGCGCTTATAACTGCCCATTCCTTTCTACGCAGAACCATTAGTCTCACTTTAAATGTCATCCATCAATAATATCTATCGAGGTTATAGCACCGGTTTCTCTCTCACCTTATATATATATAGATAGATAGATATATATATCTCTCTTTTGCTCGTTGCATGCGCAATGTTTTGTCCCATTGTGTTATTTATCAGAAGGGAAATGGGTGTTCTTCGGAATACACTAGATTCATTTTTCTTCGTAGCGGTTTTAAAACGCTCATTTTGTCAAGCGATACATGAAAACCTTCTTAGATTGATAGATAGCTTTAAGTGTTATCAAAGCCCACGCACTGTAGCGTTTACGTCGCTTCGGACAAAACGACAAATTACCGCCTCTTAAACATATATTTAAACAAGTAATATAAGAAAAATTTAATCGATTCCTACTTAGGTAAAAAAAAAATTAGCTACTTTTTATTAAAAAAGTTACAATTAATATAAATGTGTTTACACCAGTGGCGCACACAAGGGGGGTCCGGACCCCCCAAATCCCTTAATTTTTTTCCGCGATTGATTATAATTCTAAGTTATAGTACGTAAAATTTAATTAAGTGTTTGTTATTAAGGATTAATTTTATTAATTAATGCTAATTATTTATTCAATAATTAGTTTTTTACTGTGTTTTGTTCCCGAAAATCGACAAAATCAAACGGAGCATGATACAAGAATGGTAAACTTTCGACCCCGGACCCCCTCCCCCTGAAAAATTCCTGTGTGCGCTACTGGCTTACACGTATGACATAATCCCAATACTAAGCGACAAAAAAAAAAAGCGATTTTCTATTTTCCTTTCTATGTATGGTGTTGGACTGGTTTTTTTTGTTTGTTACTGTTTATTCATTAATTAAATTTAATTATTCTAATAAAACAGTATAGTAAAAAAAAGAAATCTCACTCTCAGAAATTAGGCCATCCCAAGAGGGATGCAAACCCACGACCTTTGGATTAGAAGTCCAACGCGTTATCCAGTCCGCTACAGGGGCATAACGAACGACTTTCATTTCTACATATGCTGTTGGATTATTGTTTTGGTTTGTTACTATTTATTCACTTTGAAATTTAATTAATGAATTAGTATTTGAAAAAACTGTATTAACATCAAGTGTCATCCACTACTAGCTTAAGAAAATGTATTTGAACTTGAATGGATGAATAGATATTATTTTATTAAAGAATGAAAATTTGAACAAGATATTTTATAGGGTGAGAGTGAACTAATATAGGAATTAAAAAAAGAATACTAAGTATATATATTTTTTTTTGTAAGGAAGTTAAATCGTTTGAAATTATATATAATAAACGCATTTATTAAAAAAAGAAACATGCAACATATCATAGAATACAACAATCAACTCAAGCTGTACACGAATATTGTAATGATTACTGTTTACGCACTTTGCTTGGCAGTCGAAAATATTCTAATAAACAAACAATTAAAAATGATTCAATTTTTTAAAAAATATATGTAACTAAAAATCGCGCGTGCGAACTTCTGTTATTTCGATGAAAAATAATTATTTCTCGAAATAAAAATTAACAATAGTCGTTTATTAAAGTATTTGACCATACTTAGAATACATAAATATATTTCTTTAAATAATATACATCATACAACCATTTTTCTTGAGAAAAATAATTTTAAAAAGGCAACTTTTAAGAAAATTAGCAGGAAAAATATATTTTTATAAATAGGAAAAATATATTCAACTCTTAAATTTTGAATATTAATGACAAAAAAAGACCGCTGAAAGGTCTTGAATTTTTTATATTTCCTTATTCCAGAATTTTGATACTCCATATAACTTTTCTTTACGCAAATATACTGTATTTTTTAATGATAGAAAATAATATACTTTGAATTGATAAAGAAATAAGAATAGAAATGAGCCATAATCTTTTAAAAGAAAACATGTGACACATAAACGCTTATGAAAAATAAATACAATTAATTATCGCACTGAATTAAAAGGAAATTATTGCTTTTGAAATATATATAATCAATCGTCAAAATAATATTTAAGTAACTTTTTTATCAAAAATATATATATGCAATCGAACCTCTATTTAACGAAGTCGCTAAATCCCGAAAAAAAGTTGGTTATATGGAAAATTCGTTATACAGAAGTTCACCTTTCAATATACTTTATAAACCACATAAAACAAATTTTAAATTAATAAGCACTATACATTGAATTATATACACGATACATACACATATATTGAAAAAAAATTATTCACACTTTTTTGTAAATATTGTTAATTCCATTACTTTATACTGTCTGGTTTATCATCCACGTGGTTAAGAATAGGCTTAACTTTTCAACATGGCTCTTTTTTTTCTATTGTGTCAAAATTTTCTGCTGTACGGGGAAGGTGGATCCATAAAGCATTGCTTAACGCTAAATCGCTGGCCTAATTCTGCGATAGCTCTAAAAATCATAATAGGTCTCCAGTTTAGTCCAAAAACTCTTTTTGTGTCTACATTTGCTGTGTCTCTTGATCTCCAATTTTTTTCTTCTTAGGCTTTGTAGGTTTTACAACTTTTTCACTTGATTTCTTATTTTATTATACTATATTGATTTATTGTATATATATCTTACCCATCACAGATAGAAAAACTCCAAGGAAAGCAAGAAAAAAGAATGTCGAAAATACACTGTATTTTCGACATTAAGAAAATAATTTTGTATTAAAACAACGAAAATTTTAAAGATATTTTCTAATTTAAAGTACACTAGTAGTTTTAAACATTCATTATTTTATAACTAGAAATTCTAAACAAGCACTATCACATGCGCCCTTAAATTTAATTACTCATAAAATCTGTTAATTTTGTTTGAAAAAATGTTTTGAAGCAATCGAAAATGTTGCAGTTGAACTGGACAATGGGGGTTAAAGGTTACAAGGCCCAGAATTATATTGTTCTCTGCAAGTTAGGCACCTAATAAAACCAATTCAAGATTTATGATTACCATAAAACGTATTAAAAGAAAGAAGAACTTGGAATGTTTAGAAATACTTAAAAAATAGGGAGAAAAAAATTTCACCACACAAGAGAAAAAGTTCGTTATATAGAGAATGCAATTCGTTATTGGGAGGTTATTTTACGAAGAAAATCGTGAAATGTTCTTGGTTCCCTGAAAAAGTTCGCTAAATAGAAAAATTCGCAATATAGAGGTTCGTAATAGGTAGGTTTGACTGTAGTTTTGTGGCATGAAATGTACTTTTCTCTTCGTTTATGTTAAAATTTTTTTTTATGAAAAAATATGAAAATAGAGTGTTTTAAATAAATTTAAAAAGGTTTTTTAAAGTAATTTAAAAAAAATAAATGATTTTGAAAGTTATTATTTAAAATTCAGTCAGTAAACAATCCGTTATTTTTAATATTGAAGATTAAGCGTATATATATATATGTATCTTAAATCAAATGAAAATTTCGAATAAAATCAAATGTTAATTAATTTAATAAATATTTGTGTGTTTTCATTCTTTTCAAATTTATAAATATAATAAAAATTGTTTTGCAGAAACCAAACTTATCTAAAATGAATAGAATTTACATTTAAAATATAATGCAAATGTATAGAAGTTTGTTTTTAAATATAGGAAATAAATTTCAAGTATAAATAAATAATTTACTGAATAAAATTTAATTTCTTTTTTAAGAACAAGAAACAAATGTGTAATATATATATATATATATATATATATATATATATATATATATAGAGAGAGAGAGAGAGAGAGAGAGAGAGAGAGAGAGAGAGAGACAAACATTGTTTTCAAATTCTTACTAATTCAATGATGATAAATATCTTCATAAATTTCAGTTACCTTACAATTTTATAGTTCAGTATCAAATTATGTTTCCTTCAAAAAAATTTAATAAAATACTTAAAATTCTTGATTTTTTTATTCGTAATCTAATTTAATTCTTGTTATTCAATATCTTATTGATGTATCAGTAATGATTTTTTGTAATTGCTGGTGCTTTCTGGTTGAAAATAATAATAAAATATTTTTCGGATTCGATGTGTTTATCCATTGGGGAAAATTGAATTCGTTGCCCTACAAATTAGTTTATTAGTTGCGTGAACGATGACGTCATCTGGCATAGAAACTGCGTTCTCATTCGGTGTCAATAAAAAAAATGTTCCGCCCCCTAGAATCCATATTGTTGAAAACTTTTCTTAAAATACCATTTCCTTCCCCCCCCCTTTTTCGACCTTTAACAGACTAAAATGTCATTTTCCGGTTGGATAATTTCGAAATTAAATTTACGTGATTCTAAAATATATATAATGCATTTCTGAAATTACAATAATTGGATTATGAAGGAGTTTAATGAATATTCAGGCATTCAGTTTACTAAAAAATAATTTTTTTTAGCAATGATATTCTATAAATTGGACAAAAAAGTAGCTTTTTAGAACAAATCTGTATTACAAATATTAATCAGTATCACTGATTATTATAACACAAGTAAATTACAAATAACAGCTTTATAATATATGTAAAACACAGAGACAGACTTTTCCCAGCAAGGAAGGCTTATGACTGAAATAAATGTCTGAAACACAGGTGATGACTATGACAAAACATCATAAAAAAATGAAACCACTGATAAGGAATGAAAGTTAGCTAAATATTATATGAAAGTATACTTATACACCCAACTATTTCTTTTCACGGTCTTTTTTTCCCACGGTATTGAAATAACAGGGTTCACCATTATGCATTTTACGAAAATTTTGTTCTAGCAAGAGAGAGAGAATCCCAAAACAATTTTTTCTTCATTCTTATTTTGACAGTGTGATCAGAAGGCGGTCGACTTATGGCCACACATGTGTAAGGGATTTGGTCTACATCAGACGTGTCCAACCCAAATGACCTTGCGGGCCACTTCGGAAAAACATTATAACCTCGCGGGCCGCACATAAAAATATGCACTTTTATATCAGATTTGGAAAGAAAAAAGCATATATTGAGTGAAAATTTAAAACAGAATGAATTATTATTTTTGTTTTCATGATTGTTCATGTATACAGACATAGATAATATAATAATGCTCATATAATATAATAATGCAATGATCAAATCATATTTAAAATATTACAGTTGTCATTTTCTTGAAAATTACGATGTTCCTTTTAAATTGGTCTTTCGTTACTCATTGTTGAAATTTGACAGTGTTGTCATTTCCAATAGACTAAGTATACGTTGCCCTTTATCTTAACCTTCTGAATATCTTTTTTAAACTTAAAAAAACATCTCTGACTGCATCTTGCTTAAACAGAAAAGGAGGAGGAGAAATGAAAGCCGCGCACACAGAGAATTATGTACCATCCATATTAAAGGATATGCATAATGCAATTCGGAATTTATTAAAAAAGTAATTTATTATCGAAAAATCAGATATATTACTGTTTGCTAAAATATAAATCTATTTTAATCTAAAGAACCTTTCTATTATCAAAAAGGATTCATTTTAAAACAAGAACAGGTAACAGGCAAATACATTGTAGATTTATATATATATTAGGTTGAGGAAAAAGAAATCCATTATTTTTTGGTAGATGGCTGTAGTGTCGATATCTCGTGAAGTATCGATCAAGCAATTTCAAATTTATGCTCGTTGTCCAGGTGACATTTCACACTAAACAAAATACTTTGCTGTTTTTTGTTTGGTCTATTCAGTTGTGTGTTACATGGTGTTAAAAATAGAAGTCAACAAAGAGAAGATTCGGTACATTTTTTTTACAGTTTTTCTTTGATAAAGGCGAAAATGCAAGCCAGGTGGCTGAAATTCTGAATGGTGTTTATGGTGCCGATACTGTAACAGCTAATTACGTGCAATTTCGGTTACATCGATTCTGTTCAGGCATTTTTGATGTTAATGTTGCCCCACGCCCGTCATCGAAAAGGTCAATGAAATCACAGAAATAATTGAAGTTGACCGGCATGTTAGTAGTTGTAGCATCAC